CTGTGATGGAAAAGAGTCAGTAGAAAATCAAACCCTCCCGGAGTGCAGAACAGTCTGTGATAAATCAGACGATTTGGTTTTTAATTGGGGTAATTAACGGGGTAAAGCTAGCTCGGCTGTGGGAGATTTATTAATCAGCTGACGAGCGTCGTACTCCAAACCTTTTCAGGTTGGAAAAAAAAAAAGAAGAAAATTGCAAAATTGCACAACAGTTTGTTTGTGTGTGACTAATCACATCGCACTGGGTTTGCCAGCAGAGAAGACAATGTGGGGAATTATGGGATGGATGACTGCAGTGGTGACTGACAATGTCGTAAATATGAAAGCATCCCTGCCTTCAGAAACGCCCCCTCCCTCTGTTGCCCCTCACCTGCATACCACCGCTGGGTTTCTTGTGATTCAGCAGCAGCTCCACGGCCCCCACCACCTCCTTGCGGATGGCGTGCAGCAGGGCATCGCCGACGTAGACGCCGAAGCTCAGCAGGAGTTCGATGATTTCCAGGTTCTCGTTTTCGATGGCGATCAGCAGAGCGGTGCGGCCGAGAGGGTCGATGCAGTTGATGTTGATCTTGAAGTAGATCTCTGCTTCCTGGGGAATAACGAGAATGTGATTGGACGTCAGGGAGTTTGTATTTTAACTTTTATAATTGGATTGAATCAACACTAAGACAGATGTCAGTAACAAGTGTTGGTAAAGTAAGTAAAAAGTTAAATTGATCAACTAAAATAAATGTATTTATTTTTTAACACAAACACACACAGTTAGCAAAACATACGGAGACATCTGATGACATCACAACGGGATCGAATACAACAGTTTCCCAAACTTTTTTTCTGGGGACCCATATTTTAAAAGTCACAAACCTTCGCGACCCAAGTCAACAAACCTTATTTGTAAACTTCTGTGAAACATGATGCGAGACAACCCAAAAAAAATATCTTGCAACCCACCTGAGGGTTGCGACCCAGTCTTTGGGAAACAATGGAATACAACACGGAATATTCTCTGGGAATTTTTTTTTTGTAAAAGGCCAAAAAGCCAAAAAGAAAAAAAGGCTCCAGATGTTTGTGAAAATGAGTGGAGGCTGATGGTGTTAAATCTTCTCATTAAATCAAAGCAATTAGATTAAGCTCTAATATGCATTCATAATCTAGTGTTTCACCAATCAAATTATTCATTTTTCACGTATCATTTCTACACACACACACACACACTCTCTCGTACACACCTCCAGTGCATGTTTGACGCTGGCGTAGTCTCCCTTCTCAACGGCTCCAAGGTAGGCTTTCTCCAAGGGCGACAGCTCCGACTCGGCCCGCACTATTCTCAGCGGGATGCGGTCCCGGTACGAGGAGCTGTCGGGCCTCCGATAGTAAAGCTGTGACATCTTCCTGGGCTTCAGCACCGCGATCACTGCTGGGCTGGGCTGGGCCGGGGGGCTTCACACTGGAGGGGACAGGAACAGTGACATCAGAGGTGGGGGGGGGAGGTGGGTGTTTGTTGTTCGTAAAGGTTTGGGTTTCATTTTAACAGAGAAACCAAAGAGTTGTCAAAGAGTAGAAGAAACTAAAACAGAAGTGAGAATAAGAATGAAACGTGTTGTTGTTGGTGTTAGCTCCGAGCTAGCAAAAAGTTAGTAAATATAAACCCAGACAAGAGTCAAAATATAACCTGAACTTGGACAAAGAAAATATAAAAGGGAGTCCACATTTTTTCTAAAGTGGCAAAAGTTGTTGTTATAGTTATTATTTCATTATTAACATCACAAACAATAAAAAGAAAAATGATCGTAAAGATTGAAAATGATATAAAAGTCACTGGAAAAAAAGGCCAAGATTATCCAAAATATTTTTTCTACTTTGGCCCAGACTTGACTGCGAAAAAAAAAATCCCTACATCAATCCAAACATGAAAATGTATTGAGAGAGTAAGTTAACTTAACAGCACATCATCATCAGCAAACAAATGTATAAAAAAACCTGAAACAAGCAAAACGAAGATGGAAATGTCCAGGAGAATCAGAAGAGAACGTAACAAGAGGAGAAGGAGAAGAAGGGGTGATAAAAATATAACACAAAACAAAAGAAAAGAAAAGTGGAAAAGTTCAGGTGGTTAGCGGCTAACGTTTCCATCTGTCTCCTCCCACTGTCCCTGGAGAACTCATTACCGCTCCGTATCTCTGCACAATAAATGAGCGGATTAACAGAACCACTTAGTTTGTGGCCAAGATGAGGGACAACAAGTGGAGGCTTCTCACCTCCATCAAAAAGAAAATTAAACCCATTAAATCCATTCAGACCAATTAGCAACTGAATTAGTTTTAATGGTGAGGCGTCAAAACATCGAGGTTGTGGTTTTTCTGCCTCTCGCCCAGCACTCACCCGGAGCATCGCTCTCTTCTTCTCTCACCCGACAACCACGGTGCAGTAGCTGTGGGGTAACGTACGGATGAAAAGCGAACATCCATAGGTACAAACAGCAGATGGCGCTCTGCTGATTTTGGAACACCTCATGAGCACTTCATGATCCCATTAAGTGGAAATTAAACGATAAAGCACGAGTTTGCACCATAATTCAATTCCGGAATTGTTGACTAGGGGGCGTCATCCACACAGTTGACCTTGAACATCTGACCTTCTGGTTGGTAGATGAACGTAGCCCGCATGAACGTACGTGGAGCGATGCGCTGTATGGATGCTACATCAGATTGCTTATAAATAACACTGGTCTTTTGTGGCTCAACCTGAGGCTGTGGCCGTTTATTACGTACAGGAGCGACAGTCAACCCATGTCGAGGAATTGAACTCTGCTGACAGTTGTGACTTGAATTGTTCTGACAGAAGGAAGCCAAAAAGAGGGCACAAGCAGAGGGCAGCACCACTGCACCTGAACACAACACACACAGTGGTCTAATCAAAGCAAATCATAGTTTTTTATTCTATTGCAAACAAACCTAGAATTTCCAATGAAATTAGATTTTTATTTATTTGAAGAGGGATATATTTTTTTTGCAGCACATCGCGGTGAGGTCAGGTCTGTTGGGGAATTCTTCTCCTGCCCACTGTTCCCCTTGCTTGCACACTCAGAGTAACAGTCATAAAGTGCACAGTAATCAGTCATAAACACAGCAGTTCTGTGGAAACTGGCACACAGCGCCACGTACTTCTGAACGCCGCCTGTTTAAACTCACCGGTTGGGGATTCTGACATTTTTATCTGTGTGTCTGTGGGCGAGAAATGGACCGGGAAGCCTGAGGGCTAAAAATACAAATGGTTGGAGAAGATAACAGAGCTTATGACTCTGAGTCTCCCTCTTTTCTTTTCTTTTCTTTTTTTTTTTATGATTTACAAGATGAGACCTGGAGCAGCTTCCAGTAAGAGCTGTTATTTTTACGGTCCACTCATCTGTGGCATTGAAAACCCACTCCAAGGGAAATGTGAATTTTCAAGCACAATGAAGCAGAAAACCAACCTTTAGGATGCTGGACATTGGAACTCTCCTGGAGCTCGGTGCTCATCCTTCAGGAAAGAATAATCCACAAGAGCCACGTAAGAAGGAGAGGCTTTAAACTTCTTGAACGTTCCATCATTCACACGAGGAAAAGCTGCAGCGAGGATCACAGAGAACGCATTATCTTCTTGGCTTTGAGTCGGCTTTCATTTCTCCGTTCTCATTTCTTGGACTTGTGACTTTCCATGTTGTACATCCACATGTGTTGGGTTTGGATCACGACGATCATTGGGCCGTTTTTGGAGGAGGAAAGGAAAAGGATCAGAGGAGGGGGGAGAGAGAATAAAAACGCAGCTTGGCGCACACCGCAGTCGGTCTTCACGGCGCAAGAAAAAACAAAAACAAAAAACCAAATCCAGGCGGTGGAATCGAGCGGCGAAGTTTCCTCCGTGGATGGATCACAGCTGCCTCCACCACAGCCGCAGTTTCTCTGAGGTTCTGCTTCACTCCACTCGTCCATCCACCTGTTGGAGGCAGACTGAGCGGAAAGAGCGCACAGCAGCCTGACGCCTGGCAGGTGGTCTGCGTCTCTGCTGCTGCTGCTGCTGCTGATTCTGCTGCTGATTCTGCTGCTGCTGATTCTGATGATGATGATGATGATGCTGGTGCTGCTGCAGACTGGTGGTGCGCATTTTGGAGACGCATCGAAAGCAGTGGCACCGCCAGAGGAGGAAGACGAGCTCCTTCAGCTCAGCGTGTCTCCAAAGATGGAAAACACTCCACGTCAACGTGCGTTAGAGTTTGAACAGTTTTTATAAACAGTTTGCACAGAATATCACATCCTTATTCAACAACACGCAGAGCAACATGATGCAGGACATGGAAGAAAAATCTTCCTTCTTTTCCTCTTTGATTTCCCCTTCTTTTTTCCCACATTTCTACGTTCCTTTTTTCCATTCTTCCTTAGTTCTTTCTTCCCTTATTCTGACCACTTCATTATGTGATTTCATGTTATCTTCCTCACTTCAATCCTTCCTCATTTACTTCCCGTCTTCTTCTTTTATTTTCATCTTACCCTCAATTCAGTCCAAACTTCCTTCATTTCTTCCTTGTTTCCTCCAATCCTTCCTTCCTTCCTTTCTTACTTTCTATATGTCAATAAGTGTGTATTTTATTGCTTCATTTTCTTTGATTATTTCTATATTTATACACTAGAATATCACTGGAATAAATTGGTACCGGACCAAATGGTACTGGACCAAATGGTACTGGACCAAATGGTACTGGACCAAATGGTACTGGACCAAATGGTACTGGACCAAATGGTACTGGACCATGGTGTCCATTAGTTCATTTGTACAGTTTACAGCTGAGTAACAGTTTACATGTTGGTTCTGCTCCTACATGGGAGCAGGGATTTGATGTGAAGGCTTTTAATCAGTTACATCTCTCTCTCTCTCTCTCTCTCTCTCTCTCTCCGTCTCTGTCTCTCTCTCGCTCCCTCTCTCTGTCTAACTTATGGTCCTCTGGATGCTGTAAATTCTTGCTAATAGTGTGTAACGCTGTTTAATTTCCACTGACATATTTATACAGTCGCCGGTGCCAGACATATTTCCATGTTTATATTTGTGTGTTTGTGTGTGTGTGTGTGTGTGTGAGGGAGACGGAGAGTTTATGTTGACCATGTTTGCACTTCAACTGCACGTCCTGTTCCACAAACACGTCAGTGAGGACATGTGATGTGATGGTCCTCCGGGACATTTGTTTGGAGACGTGACCATAAAGGTTGTTGGATGAACGGTGACAGACCGACCCTGGAACCTGGAACTCAGCTGCACGGTCCTGGGTCAGACCCAGACCCAGAACAGTACAGAACCACTGGTACGAATGTAAACAACATTCATTTGGATTCTCAGATGAGCTGAGACACAGAGCGTCAGTGAGGCCGGAGCAACAATAGAAATGTTTTTGGTTTTTTTCCCCCTGGTGAACCACTCTCAGCTGCGATCACTCTCTACTGGTGACATTTCACTCTCCAGAATACTGCTCAAAATAGATTTCCATTCACACCGACGCTGCTGCTGTGCTGCTCGTTTCGGAGCGCGTGATCCTTTTGAAGATCCATCAAAAGAATGAAACTTATTGAGCCGAGCGAGTCATTCCTTCAATCAACCATGTGATTGACACATAGTCAAGCCTGACATGATCGATCACATTATTGAAAAATTAGTTCGTTTTAGTTTGACCTTAGTGGTAAACCAAAAAAATTTCAGAAAAGCTTTCACAAGCCCCTGCTAGACCGCAGTAGTACTGCACCTGAAACTGCATTTTAGGGGAAGCTTCAAAATGTGTTTGTTTTTCTAAATAGCATGTAACGTACGATCAACCTTTCACATCCACCCAACTTTCAGGGTAGATAAGCCTTGAAAAAATACAAGAAAAAAACATTTAAGAAAAAAAACCTACTTCGCCCCTTTCCCGCAAATTCCCACGATGTTAGCCGTCCAATGAGAATGACCAAATTGGAGTCATCCTGTCCTGTTTATGACCAACCTTTTATTCCATCTTGCGGATTCAAAATGCACATGGTGATGAATAAAAATCTAATGTTGGTTGTGGATGGTGAATCGGTGCTAGAGGGACGATGATAATAAATGCATGTTTGTGACCAGAATCCACTCTGATTCTCCGTGATTCGGCAGAACGTACAGATGGTCACTGGTGATGGTTGGATTTTTAGTTTTAGTTTTTGGACAAAGACGGGATGACGAGCGGGCAGAAAAACCTCTTCGTAATCTCCCTGGCTTTGTTCTGTTTTGATTCGGCTCATGATGAAAATCCTGATTCCCAGCTGTACACTGCAGAGTCACTCATTAGGACAACAGCATCATTCACCAGTGGAAACTTTCAACATATTTTATAATTTGGTGAAGACAGAGCGGAGGAAGGCCGTCTTTGCACTTGCCTCTAAATTTCTTCATTAAACCAGCCGAGAGCAGTGCATCCCTGCAGCTGAAACTCCTTTCATGCACTCTATGGGATCCGAGGCTGCACCAGAGGGATAAAAAAAAAAATAAAAAATCCATTGAACTCTGCGTGATTCCCACTCTCACACTGTCTCTGCTCAGTCTGGCTTATTTTTAGCTGGCTTTTTAAAAAAACATTCTTATTCTCCGTCTTTTGTTTTGTTAACAAAGCACACCATCGTTTATTTCATCAGCCATTTTATGGATCAATAATAAAGCATTAGTTAATCCAGTCAGAGTGATTTAAGAAGGAGTGCACGCCCACAGACATTCTCAGCAGCCATGAATCGATCATGACCAGGAGGGAGGAGTTAGAAACGGGCTGAGGGATGATAAATTAGTCACGTTTTGACCAATCATTTTTCTAGCGTGTGTGTATGTGTGTGTGTCTGACAGGTCGGAAAACAGATGACAAATCTTCATCTTAGTCTAAAAGACACCTGCAGACTTTTCCCCAATTACAGGATGCTGCAGAGAGAGAGAGAGAAGTTAAATGGCATTTACTGAACATCTGAGGCGACGATATTCCAGTCTGCTCACCAACACTCCACCACTTTTCTTCATCGTTGAAACGCCGCCTGCTGTCAGCCTAAACTCTTTGTTGTAATGAAGGCAGTGATTCTGAGACCAGTTAATAAGATTCTGCTCTGAGCCGAGAGTCGCAGTAACACTTCAGCAGCAGTGTGATGAAAAAACATTGGGTTTTTTTTCTCCACTCAGAAGTTTCTTAATGATGGTGGGCAGTTGTTGTGCCCACGAGGTTGAGATTATTTTAAGGAGACTTGGTTTACAGAGACACTTTGTTTTAGTGAGAGACAGAGGTTTCTATGGGTGTAAAAGCTCTGCTCACTTTCTGGTCAGTTGGATGAGTGTTTAATTTTATTCATCTTTGGGTTTTTTTTTAAACATTTTTATGTATTTATTTATTTTATCTTCAGTGACAATGTGACAAAAGACATTTTGTTTAGAACAGAAGGATTTGTTTACTTTTAAATTAACTATTTAAATAATTATTCTGTTAATGAGAAAGAAATAAAACTTTCTGTTTTCGTGTCGTCACCGTGGTTTGGGTTGAGTTTGCACCTACTCACTGCTCGTCGTCACTGTATTTGCCCAAAGCGCTGTGCCGCCTGAAAATATTTGATTTTGATTTTCATCATTTTTGACTATTTTCATTGATCTCGTGTCTTCATGGGAGAGTAGACTGATCAAAGAATTTGAGCAAATGTATTTGTCAACAGATGGTTGTCGTTGACATATAGAGAGACCTGGGAGCAGCAACAAAGCAAATCGCCAACCTCTCCGTCTGTGAAATATGAAAAAAAAAAAAAACAGGTTTTTGGAAATGGACATCCAGTTGGCAGCAACATAAACCTCTTTTTTTTCTGAGCCCCCTCTCTCCTCCTCCCTCCTCCTCCCCCTCCGTCTCTGTATCCTTCTCCCTTCCCGCTGCTCCTATCTCTGCCTCACACTCTCACACTCCTGCGGCGTATAGAAACAATTTTACAGGAAGTGAACAGCTCCTCTCTACAACTCAGGTGTATTCATGAGTGTTGGTGCATTAAATCTGAACACTGACTTTTTACTCCATAGAAAACCAAGGCTTTGTTCATCATCAAGTCCCAGCTCCTCAGAAGAATCACTCGACCTTTTGTGAAGCTGCCTTACATCATACGTCAAATCAATTTTCTTATTGAAAAGGCAGCAACCGAGTCAAACGTACAACTGAGAAAGCTGAAAGCTTGTCCGACGTTGTCTCTCCTCCTCTCCTTTGTGGTTCTGCCGTGGGCGTCGCAGCCTCGTACGGTAACTGTGGGTTTGCTGAGGTTGTTGTGGTCATCGCACCTGTTTAAATGCCCATTACTCTTCATGCTCTCACAGAGGCCTGGGGTAATTAAAATTGATCTAACTCTCCTCTCTCCCCTGGAGATGCACGGAGGCTGCGACGGCCTCCCAGACACAGTTCATATCACAGAACATCATTTACAGTAAAGGCCAGGGCTGTTTATTATCATCTCTGACTGCAGTGTTGCCAAAACCTGTGGAGAAAGAAATAAAATATTGACTGTGCGATACATTATGACTCATCAGACAAGGGCGTCCTGTAGCAAAATGATCACTGAGGCGTCATGTTATAGAATACATGACATATATACATATATATATATATATAAGGAATGGCTGATATTAAAAGTCAAAGTCAAGTCCAAATAACTCAACTCTGGGCCCCGACACAGTGTTTAGGAGAGGCTGGTCTACAGGCAAAGATCTGAATGGTTTCCTCTTCCTCTATGGTGGCCTTGAAGATTGTTAATGACCTGTCCAGGATGTCCAGGATGTCCAGCATGTCCAGGATGTCCAGGACCTTCACTTTTTTTATCCATCCTCAGCTGACAGTGACATCATCCTCCTCCGTAACAAGCCTCCAAGGACGATCAGTATTGACGAGTGGTAGTGATGGTAGTTGAATGAACTGATGGTGAAATATAACAACACCATACAATAAGAAAAAAATCAATACACCAAGAATGTGTATTTTCTTAACAGATCCTGATTTGACAATCGAAAGTATCCACCTTCAAACTGCTCCTTTATGAAGGCTTTCAATTACAGATAATTGATATTGCCTCAATTGATAATTAAGAATGAGCACTGTTTCTAGAACAAAAAAAAATCTGTTATTATAAATCGGTTTCTCCTCTGATAATGAAAACCCGACCTGGACTGGTGAAGTCATTGCAGCCAGTCGCTCATTCCTGACTCTGAGGGTTAACATTTATCCTGAGAAAACACAGTTTTCAGAAGTATCAGGGTGTGACTGTCTGGACGTCCAGACCCCAGAGAGAATTCACTCTGTAAATACACACTGTGCTACACTGCTAACCCTCATGAAGCAGCCTCTCCGTCTCAGCTGAAGTCATTTGTCAGAGTCCTGCGTCTTATCTGCTCTAATCTTCAGCTTATGTTACACTGAGACCAGTCCACACTGATCCAATGCCCCTTTAAGGAATCCAGTCGTTCTGGGTGGTTGAACCCACTGACCACAATACTTTAAAAATTATATTTGGCATCTGAATCATACAGCAACATTCCTCTGATA